TTATTAATTAATCTATTTTTTTCTGAATGTCTCCATATATATAACTACTGACTTCATTACAAATTTCGATCTAAACTCTATGTTCAGAAAACGAATCTCCATTATAGAGGCTCAAGGATTTTCAGCGCAGTCGTGGAAGAACTACTAACAAAAGGATTGCAAAATGCTCAAAATGTACGACCATTTTTCATGTTTTAGACGCCCATAATACAAATTTTTATTTTTAAATAATATTGTTTTTAATTTATGTTATTGGAATATATGAAAAGGTTATCCTTGCTGGCAACTCGGCTGGAGGACTAGCGACTATTTTGAACTGCGACCGGTTTAAGGCAATGGTGCCAAATTGTGCCAAAACAAGATGCATTTCAGATTCTGGTTTCTTCATCCTAGCGTAAAATTTCACTACATTTCTTTTATTAAAATAGAATTTTTGATACTTTTTTTAAAATTCATATTCAATGGATTTTCAATAATATTTTAGTTTTTGTTTTTTTTAATTATTGCAGGAAAGATCTCCCAAATGCCGATCACAGAGAAAGTGAATATGCTCAAGTTGTTCAACTTCATGTATTACTCTTGCCTTGCTTTAATACAGCCCTATATAAAAAAATTAAAAAATACAACAATAGAAAAATAACAATATAAAATAATATAATTATGATATACTTTTTAACTTTTTTATTATTTGTGGTGTAGGGAGTAGCAAAATTTCTGCCAGAGTCGTGCACGTCAAGAATGGACCCGGGTTTGGTGCGTTGATTTTGCTATTAAGAGCATCTCCAACCAATTACACCAAACTCAAACTCATTTTGCAGTACACTTTCCATTTTGCGGTAATTCATCTCCAACCAAAAAACTCATTTTCCAACCCAAAAGAATATTCTCAAAATATTCCTTTTTACATCAACTTTCACAACTTTTCAATACTACCCACATATTTTACAACTTTACAAATTAAACCACACTATTATTTTCAACTCAATTTAGACTTTATGTAATAAAATCGGAGAAATAAATAGTCATTAAAAATATAATTTAAAAATTACAACACACAATATAATATTAAAAATTACAACGCACAACATTATAAATTAAAAATTACAACAATCAAGTAAAAATAGATAGTCTTTCAAGTCTCGGAATTGGTATATTCCTCCCACAGATGATCAATTAGTGCATTTCGAAGTGCAATGTGATCATCTTTATTTCTAATTTTTTTGTACCGAGATATGAATTCTTCAAATCGAGTGCTTTCATCTACTGCCATTTCGACCTCCGGCGGCGGCGTTTCCACTTCAGTTTCGATTGGTGCACTTAGGTCACGTTCATCCTCGACAATCATGTTATGCAAAATTATACATGTAGTCATGATATCATGTAGCACTTCTTTTTGCCAGTAACGTACTGGTCCTGCTACAATGCCAAAACGTAATTGAAGAACTCCAAATGCACGTTCAACGTCTTTTCTGCATGGTTCTTGTTTCATTGCAAAATATTTTTTTTTCGGACCACGTGGCTCATGAATTGTTTGCACAATGGTAGACCACTTTGGATATATGCTATCAGCTAAATAATAACCCATGTTGTATTCTTTTCCTTGAATTATATAATGAGCTGGAGGAGCAATACCTTGGGTTAGATCCGAGAAAAGATGAGATGGGAGCCCGGCAAACCAAAATAAGCATGCCATATCTATAGATCATAATCTGCTACAGCTTCAAGAATGATTGTAGGCTTTCCACTACGACCAGCATATTGGCCAGCCCACGCTGTAGGACAATTTTTCCACTTCCAATGCATGCAATCTAAACTCCCCAACATTCCTGGAAAACCACGTTGTTGACCAATATATAGAAGCCTGGAAATATCATTAGATGTCGGTCTGCGCAGGTATCGCTCGCCAAATACCTCAACTGTCGCTCGACGGAACTTTTACATCTAACTTTTACAAATTTTCAATACTACCCATATATTTTATAACTTTTAAATAATTATTAAACTCAAAAGAATATTCTCAATAATAAAATTAATTATTAATAAATAATTCGTATGTATACAAAATTCAAATAAATATTTAAAAGAATTACACTATTGGAAAAAAATATTGCATTGACTTAGCAAATATTGTGTAAACAAATATGTGTGTGTGTGTGTGTATATATATATATATATATATATATATCAATATGTTCTTGTTTTTTTTTGTTGTCAATTTTCATGCCATATTATTAGTTATTATTTTTAGATTGTCAATATTATTTATTATTCCAAATTTAGAAAATAATAAAATATAAGTTAAATCAAAATAAATAATATACTAAACACCAAACTATGTCAAAGATATATAATAATAAAATTTATATAACCATATATAAATATTGAATAGACAAGGGCCAAAATGAAATTGCAAAAAAATTTTGCAGTAGTGAACAGTATAAACGCATATATGCGTTATGTGGAGAGAGAAAATCAACTCATACGCATTTTGGGATTGGTATTGCAGTTTGGTTGGAGCAAAATTTTGGGTTTGGGTATGCGTTTTCAGCTCCATTGGAGTTGGTCTAAGTTGATAATTATTATTTTTTTTTTGTTGATAATTATGGTTGGATAAAATTGGTAGAAAATAAATTTGAACAAATAATTAAATTATGCAGTGTTTTTTCCCTAAAAATTTGGTTGGAGATGTTGAGACCCCACTGTTCATACTAAATTCTGCTTTTGATCTGTACCAGGTAACATCAATCAATTTTATATTAATCACAAACTACTCTCTCCTTAATCTAGTGAGACATTTAATTTAATTATATTAATAATCGAATTATTGGGATACATGTGTGTGTGTTTTTCAGATCACATTCAATTTGAAACCTTATCCTGGGGATGAGCAAGGCTGGGCGAGTTGCACTAACAACACACAAACCTGCACACCTGGCCAATTACAACTCATAAAGGGTACTCGAGCTTTATTACTGTTATTATTATTATTATTATTTGATCTTCATATAACCAAAATAAAAAAATATTAAGGTATCTTAAATTAAAAGTTGTGTGAATTTTAATTTCAGATTTTAGAAACACATTCCTGGAGACGGTGAAAAATACTGGTGATTGTCCATCAAGAGGATTGTTTATCGACTCATGCTACATTCATGATCACCTTTGGTCAACTAAAAGATGGAGCACGCCAATATTGAATAATAAGGTAATTTTCACCGTCGTATCTTTTTATGTGCAAATTATACTTTTGTGTTGAATAATAAAGTTGTTAACTTATTTTCATTTCAGAGAACTAAAACAATTAGTTTTAAATTTTGCAGACTGTTGCAGAGGGAGTTGGCGATTGGTTCTTTGATCGGAGTAGTGTCAAAATGATTGACACTCAAGTAGACCGGCCAATAAATTGTCATATATCATGAATGATGCAATCACAATAGTATTTAAATAAAATAGGTGGAATGATCCATTTGACATTTATACTATATGATATGATATATATATATATATAGGGGGTGGATCCAATGAGACCACTCCTTAAAATGAGTACGTGAGACTCAATCTTAGCCACTCATTTTGTCTATATCAAAATCAATTAAAATATACATTAATTAAATAATAAAATAGTTGACCGTTGACTCCGGCGTTGACCGTTGACTCCGGCGTTGACCGTTGACTCCGGCGTTGACCGTTGACTTCCGGCGTTGACCCGTTGTATTGAAATAAATAACCTAGCAACAAAAGACACTCAACCTTGAGTGGTGTAGTGGTTGCATTGCTTGTCTTGCCTCCATGAGGTACCAGGTTCAAATCCTATGGGTTACAATTTTTTTATAAAAAAAAAATACAACTAACTTAGCAACATCAGACAACTAACCTAGCAACAAAACACAACTAACTTAGCAG